AAGGCTCGAGGCATCATTGATAGGACCTTCGAGCTCCGAAAACTGCATATTAGCTAGTTACCATGCGCATCATGTAGTCGACTAGTAGTAGTAGTAGTAGTCGTCGTCGTCGTCGTCGTCGTCGTAGTAGTGGTAGGAGTAATACTAGTGGTCGCAGTAGTAGTAGTAGTAGTAGTAGTAGTAGTAGCAGTAGCAGTAGCAGTAGCAGTAGCAGTAGCAGTAGCAGTAGCAGTAGCAGGAGCAGTAGCAGTAGCAGTAGTAGTAGCCGTAGTAATATGCGAATGATTTTGCCTTCTTGTGTGTTCGCTGTATGTCAGCAGTAGCCCTCAAGAGCGCTTTGCCAGCGTGTGTGCCTCTCTATCCACTTGCTGTATCCCTGGCAAGTGGACTGGGCACATCTTGAGCTTGTATACTGTGGTATGGGTGGGGTACGGTGACACCCATGTTCACACTTGGAGCGTGCGTGTTGCTGTGTCCCGGGTCCAATAGCTGAGCAATCTTTGGTGGACAAGCGTTGCAAGGTACTTGGTGCAGTTGTCATGAATGACCGCTCAAAGCGAAGTGAGAACGCAGCGGGCTTTAGTTGGTACGGCTGTGCATTCATGCGGTTCCGCCGTTTCGGTGCCCTTGCCACCAACATGGATGCAGGGCAGGAGTTCGGAATATTCGTTGCTCGCGGTCGAAGCCTGGTACTCTTTCTCGTTCTCGTGGTCTCTCGTAATGTGTAGCTTGCCCCAAACATTGGGACTTTCAGAGATCGCGGCAGCACAGCCGAAGGCCGTGCCGCCAGTTTGATGAATAACAAATAGATCTTGCTTTTATAAACTACGAGTAGCTTTTGCCTGACCGCGGAATGTAGCACCCCAACCCCGACCCCGGCGGCCACTGCATCCCGAATCTCCTGATCCGTATCCATCACAACGTAGGGCATGGGGTTGCTATGCGGCTTCGCTCTGTTTCCGGTCATAGAAAGGAGCCATCACAAGAAGCTCACTGGCATGATGAACACGACGAGCACTACACGGCGCGGAATACAATGCCAGTGATGTCTCATAAGATGCTCTGGAGAAACATTGCCAACTTCGACCCCGTACAACTCCGGTCTAGATCAAAAGAGATCTGAGGCCCCGGCTTGAGTCTCAACGTGTCAGGAACACTAATGCGCGCAGTGGGATCGAAGGTCACGGTCTTGGAAACAACCTGGGAAATGCTCAGCTGCGCATATCCTAAGACAAATGCTGAAAGTCGCCGTGCCTCAATCGCGTCGTCGCTGGCCGTGGGAAGCAAGCTCTTCCACTCTACCTTCTTCAGTGCTGTTGGGTAGGTGGAGAAGCCATTCCACTACAGAACGGTGACCCCAAAGTGTGTAAAGCAGAGAAGCAACACCGAACATCATCTCATCCCATTCCCATTCCCATTCCATCCCATCCCATCCCACCCATCCATCCATCGACGCATAAAACCATGCATTCATGAACTCATCCACCCGCAGGCCAGCAGGAGGCCAATGTCTTTGAATCGGAGGATGCAGACTCACCGGTAGCGGCGAGAGGGTTGTCAATTCGGAAAAACGAAGTGTCACGGCGTGACACTTGCAGCGGCCGTGCACGCGATCGAACACGCCTTGAGGGTTGCTAAGTCGGAGGCCAAATCCTTGCGGCCCCACATTTACGAGGCTCGGCGACTCCCGCTGAGAGAACCTTTTGGGGCCAGCCGACCTCACGAAAACCTACGGATGAACCCCGCAAAGACCTCACATCATACAATGCAGCCACACGACAACCTAACCTCACGTCAACATCATCATATCTTCGATTTGCCTTCGGGACAAAACAAGCTACGATTTGGTCTGAGAACGATGCCTTCGGCGCGGGAGCGCACTTTATCAGGAACGAGCGAGCTGTCCCCTCTTCCGGCAACCAATGCTTTTCAGCCTGCCACGAACGTGCTTTCACTGAGACCTGAGAATGTGACTCGACAGGCCTCTGATGGTGTGCCGAGGGTGCTGATGATCTTCCGCAACTGATCGACGTGATCCTTGCCTATCCCGGAGGCAACGAGGGCGAGTTGAGGCTGTGTCGAGGCGTTACTACGATACTCTGACCAACTTTGAGGCTGTGCTGCGCACCTGCAAACTTCTGGTAAAGCCAAAACAACATCAGATTATCAGGCACAGTCTGCGGATGGAAATAGATCGAACGACAACATCACAGACGGGATGTCGCTCGAGGTGTGTGCAAATAGACGGACAGAAACAAAAACAAACTCGCGCAGGCGCACACAAGTATCTAAACTGGAGTTGGAGATGCAAAGTAAGGCTCACACACATTGGTAGGATCGTTCTTGCAATGTTGCTTAGATGTGGAAGGGTGGCCACACTTTTCGATGCTTGCAAACATCAGGCCTAACTGCAGTCACTGTACTCGACGGTATTTGCAATACTTCTGCTCGTCCTGAACCGATGTCATGTGTTGCAAGTGTGTGGGATGCATCGGTTGCTAGGGCTACCAGGCTAGGCGGTCGTGTACGGATGACGCAGGTACCACAGCTGCGATCTCAGCGGCAAACAGCAAAGAAGCCTTTCTGAAGATGCAACGTGGCAGCCTCCCTTCAAAACTGGCTGTGAGACATGTCGAAAAGTGTCTCTTGGAGTGGAGGATTCGCAAGAGCGTACGGAGGTGATGCTTCGAGGCTCTCGTGCACTAGCTGCAGGAACTGGACTGTTCCTGCAGCTTTCAGTGGTTTCGAACATTTGTACCAGGGGACCAGCTGGGTATCTGAAGTGTGAAGTGTCATGAGCATGAACGGCGACGAGTCTTGCGCATACACAAACTCCATGAAGCAAGCAGAAAGAGTAGACACAGGCTAGCGGCTAATCTAGTCAGCCGCCTGCAAATAAGGGTTTACGCGAGATCAGCTCGAAGAGGATGCAGCCCACAGCCTCACCAATCACAGAAGAAACAGCTGACCAACTCCCGAAAGAACCACTGGCACTGCAAGGGCCCGAACCCAAACATCAATGGCGACAGTATAGTCAGAGGACACCAACATGACCTGTTCAGAGTCGCTGAAGGGTCTTGCCGGGGCCAGCGGCTAGTGATCTGTCAACGCATCGTGTGATGCCACGAAAGGTAGTAACATGCCTCAGGGGCCCGGTACCAGCGGGTAACCACGTAGTCCGTGCGCCCCATGGAGTCCTCCGCATCCGTAGCCAACACCTGCAAGAACCGAAAGCGCAGGAGCCGCGCTCTACGGCACGGATCGCGGGACGCCGGGCTCCAGGCACGCGCCAGGCCGAAGTCGCAAATCTTCAGGTCGCAGTTCTTGTTGACCTCGACAGAACGCCCTCAACCTGGAAAACGGCTAGCCTTGTCAAAGGAACACAGCAATCGTGGGCAGGAGCATCTACCCGAAACGGTTGTGAAAGGGGCACACACTGAGCCATGTGCCAGAAGATTCGAGGGCTTGATATCGCGATGCCTGGTCCAAATGGATGTGAGCTGCTTTGCCCCGCACTAAGCCCGCATGCAACGGCGTGCCAGCGTGTTCGTCTCACTCGCGTGCTTGCTTGAGTCCATCTCTGGTTCTTCTTTAGCGTGCGAAGCAGAAAGGCAGGTATGCCTTCCCCTCGTGCGGCTGGGTGTCCAAAGCTCTATTTTTTGTCTATATTTCGCCGCGTGCAAGTCCCCGCATCACGCTCTGCCTCTCTGTGCCTCTGGAAACTGCTGAGACTGTCACACTATGTGGGCGCTGTGTAGGTATGCCAGGCCTCGGACCAAAAGAGTCAGGGATTGATTTGTGTTCCCTCTGAGGAAGTAAGGGGCCATCTGTGGAAGCAGAACTCCGACGACTGCGGCTCGGGCCACGGAGTATTTGATGCATGAAATACTGGTGGTGCTCCTGCAACAGGAACAGCTGCACCCAACAGCCTGACGGAAGCTTGCATCCTCTGTCAAAGGCTGCTTGGAATAGATCACTCTGTGGAGATCCTCAGCTGCTCAAGCCCAGTTTCCCGCACCCTGACTCCAATGTGACCTATGGCGATTTGTAGCTGCAGTACCCCAGTAGTGCAGCATAGTGCAGCCTGCATGCTGTCTCCATGAGGTCTGTGACGATATAGATATCCTTCGCATCTGGATCTGAACCCTTTCCGCCAGCCTGCTGTTTAACATACGCCTCGAAGTCCGGACCGGGTGGAGGATACATGTCCATGATTCGGATGATGTTGTCCTTAGAGCATTGAGATCAACGACAGGGTAGGTCCTGCGAAGCGACAAGCTTCCCACGTGATCCAGCTGCCTCAGAAGCTTCACCTCTGAGGAAGGCAAACCGACAAGGCCAAACATGACTAAGAGATAGTAGTCCTGAATCCCGCCTCACGCAGTATTCGTTTGCCATCAACCTTACAAAGCGGTTTGCATGGAGACGAGTGTGACACCGTCGTTTTGCGCATACTCGGGATGGAGCCAAGTCATTGAATGCATTCGTGACTTTCTTAACCTTGCAACGGAACGCAGGCTACACGGTCTGGATAGGCTCTTGTTCCCCGGCTGCCCCGGCTGCTTTCCCCGACTTGAGGTGTCAGCAGCAAACTTCTCGCCCGTTTTCTTGTCCTGCAGAGACGGACAAGCTTGCGGGTTTCAAAAACCTGCTGTTCTGCCTGGAACGAGGCCACACAGCCATACGCCCCAGAACCTTAGCAAAGTCAAATGGACGGACATCCTGGCGCCACACGGCCATGGAGTAAGACCGAGTGCGAGGCCAACCTTCTTTACAAGCTCAACGTGGTCGGGAACACGAAAGGTAGACTTGCCATCCTCTTGCCATGTTGAAATGCACAGTTTACAAACAAGTAACTAAAGACCGACGGCCACCAAGCAGCACCCTTTCCGTGTCTGGCAGCTTGAGTGTTGCGGTCCGAAGCTCTTCTAAAACCTGCTGCCAGTCTACCGTGGACGGCTTCGTCAGATGCTCTTGCAGCCTTGTCCTCCATTCTACGACACCAGAGGCATCGTCTGAAGACCATGGCAGGCAGCCCCTTCCAAATACAGGTCCGTTTCGCTTCTCGTGCTGCATGAAGCGGTAGCCCTCGAAATACAGAAAATCTGAAGGCAATCCGGGAATGTCGGTGAAAGTAGCGTGTGACAAACGCCGGTGCCATCCATGGAAGAATGCCAAAGAAATTGCCATATACACACAGCAGGCATGCTCGGACAGAGATGCATCCCCTGAAATTCGTACAAGAACATATGGCTTTCCGTGCAAAGACATCCTTTGGACCATCTTGATTTCCTCATCTCCTGCGGAGCCTTCGCGTGAAGTCTCTCTCCGCAACAGCTTAACTTCCTGCATGGCCTCCTTCAGCCGTTTCAGTTTCGGTCGCAACTCCTCGAAGTCGTTGGGACATGTCTCGCTTCTGCTCGTGAGTGCAACGACATCCAAGAGATAGGCGAAATGCCGCTGCACCAAACTGCTCTGTAAGTCAATAAGTTGCGATTTCTTCAGTTGCACGAGTGAATGCAGCATCGCGAGTGGTATTTCCTGCAACCTGGCCAACAGACGTTGCCTCAAGGCATCTCCAGCAAATGCACAGGAGAAACTGGCAAGCAACACTCTTCCGACGGCAGGGCACGAGAAATCTCCGAGATCCTGAACGTCAATCCCCAGTGCACCCAATAAAGTCAGAGCCTCCGACAACGCGGCCGTGCCAGAGAGGCCCCGGCCCAGGCTCCCCAACAAAAAGGCGTAAGGCTGGGCCTTCTGCGTCATCGACGTCAGTGCAGAGTCCACCTCCGAAATGCGCTGAATGCACGCACCGCTGCTTCGCAGGTGCATGAAGAGCTTGTTGCGGCTCTCGAACTTCAAATTGCACCAGCGACAAAGGAACATCTCGCTCTGGGCAGAGTTTGCTTGCGCAGCGTCCCGGTAGCCGTCTGGTACAAAACCATCACAGACAAGCTCATCTTTCTCACAACATACTTCAGCCCTGCCCAGCGCCGCTTGAGCGAAAACTGCATTTTGGCTCTCATCCTCGAAAAACTTAAAAGGATCGATCTCTTCTGCTGCACCTGTGGGCAAGTGGACCTCGAACATCTCTGAGTCTGTCCCAGGCAAAGATGGGCCCGATAGATTCATAGGCACACGTACTGTCTCTGACACATGCATTGCTGCAGACGCTGATCTAATGCAGAGAACGATACCCACCAACTTGAAATCCGAAACCCCAAAATCCACGAGGCCATCGCGCAGTCTGCAAAGTTCATGTGGTGAAAAATATGAAAAACTTGCCTTGGCTCCCAACAAAGTGCCGTCACTTTGCCCATCTGTTGGTGTAGCATTCCTCACACTCTCCAGGTTCGGCTTGGAATCCACCAAGCAGCAGGCGACAAAAAGCTTCCGCCCAGGTGAACGTGCTGCATGACGAAATCTCTGAACACAGCGATGAAGGTAGTCATGGTCCTGAGGGGGCCCGAAGAAATGTAGCCCTTCGTTGCAAGATGAGTTCGAACCCTTGAAAATGTCCGCTGCTGGATATCCTTGCGGACCTAGCAAGCCGAAAGCCAACGCCCGCACTTGCAGCTCTCACACTCCTGTCGCTTGCGCGATGGATCGTGGTGAAGGAACGTGAAGGATGGCCAACGGCCAGGCAGTCGCAGCTCCGAGTACCGCGCGTGGCCGGTGCCCGCACCTCGCAGGAAGAAACAGAACGGAAACCGAGGCCTAGGCACCCAGGCGCCCAGGCGGCCAAGGCCATGTTGTTCCCTTTGTGTTGCCTTCGCCTGTTGCTTTTTTTTCCCTACCGAAAGGCTCGGGGCACCTCGCTTGCCCAAGGGCCGGTACTCGCGAGGATCCAAAAAGCTGCGAAAGTCATCATGCAGGCAGTCCCTTACCATAGCAGGAGATGAGAAGACCCAGTCAAAGGGCATTGCAGACCTGGGCTGGCAACGTGGCGGCCACACTTATCCAGGCTGGGGAAGGGTCAGACGGGGCCAAACAGATCTGCCCAGGTGCTTTCTCCAGCCATTGTGCTGCAACCACATTGCAGTCAAGCAGTTGGAGCCCAGTGAGATGACTCGCACGAAGGGCGGCGGAGGCTCGCAAGAGGAATGCCTGGCAGTCATAACTTGAAAAGCGCCTGGAATGCTTATCACCTAGGCTACAGTTGGGGCATGGTTTGGATGGACGGCTCGAACAAACTGCTACAATTTATTATGAAGCACTACACGACAAACTAAGATTGCTTATCGCACTATGTCCTGTACACACGTATGTTTATTACAAGGTGGCAAAACTTAACTACATACTACTACAAGTTTCACTTCAGAACTGATCCTTATCCTCATCTTGATCCAAGTCCTAATCCCCTCCTCCTCCCGAAACGATATCCTAGATCTACTAGTAATGCAAATAGAAATGCTAACGCTAAGGCTCATGCTAGTACTGTTATTGCTGCTAACACTAATGACTCGACTAACTACAGTTTGAGTGACAATTACTAATTACGGCAAGTCGTTGAAATGGAGTACCAGAGTAGTAGTATAATTACACAATCTGATTTGAGCCATATAAAAACTGACTGCGGAAGCATGCTTATAGTCACGCATCGTTAAACCACAAGAACAATGTGTAACATCATGTAACTGTAATTGCAAGAAACCTATTACAGCACAAGCTTACAGGGGGAATGGCGGGGAGGGTGGAGGCGGGGCGGGGTGGGGTGTGGGGGTGCAACCCAAACCAAAGAGTCGTCCAAGCCCCGAGTCCTCAAACCCAGCCAAAACCTGAGCCGTGTCCGGTTTAAGGTTTAGGGTTTAAGGTTTAGGGTTTAGGGTTTCACTGGGTCTCGAAGACCCCAACCAAGCCGTGACTCTCATCTAGAAAAGACCGTGTCCACCAAACGCCCTGCCGCTGCTTACCCGCCTATCAGCCAATGTTAGGCATTCCACAGTCATTTCAAGTCATAACCCAATAGAATCAGCATGCCCCGCAATTGACGAGCATCGGTGGGTCAGAAACCAAAGCGGGATCCATGTGCACTGGCGCCATGGCATCTAAGAAGAGATGCTTACGTCTTGCTTTGGGCAAGGTTTGAGACCTGAGTGTTTGGACACGAACGACTCTCTGGCAAGCTCGTCGCTGCTCAAGCTGGCAAGCATGGCAAGTTCGGCTCCTGCTTGCCATCCACTACAACCTCTTGCAGTTTGTAGATGGGCATGTTTCCTGGCAGGATATCCACAGTCGGAGCTGCGTCTGGCAGCGATGTGTCTCGTCGATGCTTAGCGAGAGGCTCTAGACATTTCGAGGCAATTTGCGCGCTCGCCACATCCTTTGGATTGCGGTCAAACTCGAGACCACTCAGTCAACACAATTATCAATAATGGATGCTGAACTGCGCACAAAAGCTGAGAAGCAGACACCGCTGGATGAGGAGAGCACGGCGTGCTGGGAATGATCTGAAACTTTACAAGCTTACGCTGCGTGGCACTGGCTCTTTGTTGTTGGCATACGGGAACATCAAAACGGATCCCTGAAAAAAGCCTGGCTTGGGTGAAAACATCTGCTGGCTCTTGCCGCTCATGGAAAGCTGAAGCCGGCGGAGTATATGGTGCAATGCTGCGATCTGTGTTCCATGCCGGTGCAGGACCAAACGTGATTGGGGCGCTTCTTTTCCAATGAGGCTATCTTTTGCGCGTTGGCTGCATATGTCCACCAGGGTCGATACGTCCAAGTGTCAGTCTTGTGGGACTTCATGCCAGTTGAAAGCATAACTCCAATTCTGCAACAGGCTTGTGTGCAGAGGCCAGACGACGGTTTTCATCGTCTCTATTTTGGTCGCGGATATGCCGATAATGAGAGCGCTCAGACCTGCTAGCCAAGCACCTGATCAAAGTAGATCAAGGTGCAGATGACATGTGCTTCAAGAGGAATTGTAATTCTGCCGAGGTGCCCTTTTGCAAAGGGAACGTTTGTGCAGCTTTGGATGCCTTGTCGCACTCCTGCCAGCGGTTCGGGGCTTACTGACGGAACATTGGCTTGATTTTGGTCGTGCTGTTGCCTGGCCTGCAAGTCAGCAACTGACTCGGGACTTGTGCTCTCTTCACGGGCAAGGCGTTGAAGGTGATGTTGCATCTTGCGATTGAGTCATACTGAGTCTGCATGGCATCGCACCAGCATGATGTAGTTTGGCACGTTGACTCGGCGAGCCTCTTTCTGCACATCACCTCTGCTTGTTTCCGGTGTGGCTCTGCTAAGGCGGGACATGGCGTCCTCCATGACGTGGTCGGCTGGAAAGGGAAGCTTAAACCAGAAGGGCCCGACCTGCCTCGACACCCACAGCATCGCAAGCCTTCTGTCGCACAAGCGCGAGGCTCTGTAGTGCCTGAAAGTCACACATTGTCGGACGAGGCCTTCGCCACGTAACAACGTTGCATCTAGCCGCGTCCGGCCTCCTGCTGCAATCGCAAGGCCTCTGGATCTTGGCATGAAGAGCCCTCCTTCGAAACCGCATCTAACAACACCGACTCCCTGGCTGTGCTGTGAACTACCGTGAGGAAGGCTTTAGCAGTTCAGATGTCCAGCGACTGCAGGTCAGAGCCGTCTTGGCCCCACTCTGGGTCTTTGCCACCTTCGAGATCATGAAAAGAGCCCGACCACAGAGTCCAGACAGCAGGTCGTTTGCGGGCCTGCTCGCTTCCACTTTGCTCGCAAAGCCTCCTCGGCCTCGGCCAATCGTCCCACCTGCAGGGCAAGAAGGGCCCTCTGCGGCTGAGACTACGGCTACAGTCATCACCACGGCCTGTGCGGCAGCGAAGGCCCATTGACCGCACAAGCGGGCCCATTCCAAGCGAGTCGCCGACTCACCAGCCTCGGTGCGGATCTCGCAAACAATTCCAAGCTCCTTCAACTGTGCACCCAACGCATGTGCCACTTCTTGTGCGTTGCTGCCAGCCGCTACGCTGTATGCGGGGTCGCTCCCTAGGTGCATGTGTATCAGGTCCGATGAGTTGAATGAAGTTCCCCCTCGGCAGCTTTCAAGCGTCGCATTCTTGCTGTGAGGCTTCATGCTCACAAAACTGTCGTCCCGGACGTTTTGATCGGGGACGTACCAGGCATGGGACTCAGCATTGAAAGGGCTGGGTCGAGTGATGGTCGAACCGTGCGAATGTAAGCGAGCTGTTGGCCTAGGACGGTGAGTTAGTTCCTCGCACCGGACAGGGGAAGAAGCCGGCAACAAAAATCTTCCTGCGATTTCCGATTTCCTGCGTATCCTTCCGTGCAGCGGAATCGATGGTTTGCCAGCTTTTCGTACGAGTATGGCCATGACTCATCACATGGTTGGCACAGAGGCCCGAGCAACATGGACATCTTGATTGAAGAGGTGAGAGGCCTGAGAAGCCTACACCGCAAGTCCAAGAAGTCCAAAGCTAGAGCTTCTTCGTCGGGTTCCTCCAGCTCGTGTTCTGAGACTCCGCAGCCTAAGAAAAAATCAAAGAAGTCCAAGGACAAAAAAGAAAAACGACGCCGTGAAGAGAATTCCCGAGCTGTTTCCCCTGGCCTCGACACCGCAGAGAGAAAGGAGTTGCAAGACTTCAGGCGCCAAGCTGAGCTGGAAAAACTTCGTGCAGAGATCCGTGCCTCCTTGGAGGAAAGCGTTCCGCCCGCGAAGGTGCCTCCAAAGGAGGCTCCTTCCACCCCGAAGCCAGGCCGGAGCAATTCGACAAAAGATCTGCTCACTCCAAAGACATCCCGCTTGGTTGCTGCAGAGGCTAGGCTCTACCAAGACGGCGCTGTCAAGCAACTTCTGGGAAACAACTGCTGTTCGTGGCAGCAGGTGTCGGAGGAGCTTGCCACCCACAGTTTGCCTGAAATCAAGGGCTTCCTCAAGCAGCTACGCCCTGACGAGAACGTCCCTCGCTCCAAAGCTGAGGTACTCCGTGAAGTGTTGGCTGTGCTGCAGGAGCGGGCAGCGTGAGGAACGCAGTCGGCACTCTGGCAGGGATTTGGGGAAAATGCTTGGATTCTGGGTATTGTCTCGCTCGTCCTTGTCTGGATGGCGGTGGTTGCAGCGATGGCTTGCTGGACAGGCATGTTCCAGACCCAAAGTTTGGTACCTGCATTTCTGTACCGGCCGTGGAAGTATTGCGAAGCTTTGTACATCCTCGGTTGGCAGGAGAGGCAGGTCTCATCATTCGTGGAGTCTGTCTTTGGCATTCCCATCCTTTCTGCGTCTACAGGGGCGGGTTTTCTGATCCTCTCCTTATTCGCTGGTTTCGTGAAGCCGAAGCCTGTTCGCCATTTGCTGAAGAAGCTTCTTCTAACTCCACCGCGGGGTCCACCCTGTCCGAGAGAGATAGAGGGGGACAGTTTTGAAGCTGTGCGCAAACTAGTTTTCTTGTGAAGTTACAGTACCTAAGTGGCCGCTGCTCTGCGCATCTTTAGCCTGAGGGTTTGAACTGAGTGACTTGTGAAGCTGTGCATCTTCCACAAAACATCTTGCCAGCTGAAACCGTGCACGATGTTTCTACAGCCCTTTAGGGCTCCGGATGATTTCTGGGGTGCGCGCAGCAAACCCGGCGCTCACGAACGACCCCCGGCCGGGCATCCGGAAAACAGCAGGTCCGATTGCGTTGGATTTGTCGTGACAGATCAGCTTCTCTCGCAAACGGGCCGGATGCATGCTTGACGCATGCATGGACACACCTTCCTTGTAAATTACAAAGTGCAGGCTGCATAGAGGTTTTAACCACATCGCAGCTTGCTTGCCGGAACATTGCTGCGTACCTGTTGACACAAAGGAAACGCCCAGCAAGCAAGGGAGCGGACGTCCGCAGCATCAACAAGGTGTCGCGATTCATTCAACACCTCCTGAAAGGCAACAAGGCTGGAATGTCTTCCCTGCTCCCACGATGGCTTTGGCAACGGCACCTCCGCAGCTGCAGAGTCTCCCAGAGACAGGTGGAGCGAGCACACTGCCACCTGCTGAAAGTCTAGTTCAAACACTCGTAGACATCTTGTCCCACTCCCCCCAACATTGGAGCCGCATATGGCAAAGAACGCTTCGAGCATGCCTGCCCCAAAGCCTCCGCACTACTGGTGCGCCCATCACATACCATTACGAACCAGCCCTCCCACCCGTCCCTGCATTAGGAAGTTGTTTACCACCAATGGCTCGAGAAGCAGACGCACTCTCCGATAAGTTTTCAGGTGCTTCAAGACTTCAAGACGAACACCACCTTGACTGAAACACAAACCATTTAGTCACCGCTTTCGTTTAACACGCAACTATGTGCCATCGCAGGCACGACGATCTTGCCCAAAGCAGACAAGATAAACTACACTGCCTGCCAGCAGAGGGTTAGACATTGTAAACATCCTAAAAGGAAGTGACCCTCCGCAGCTGAATCTGAATGCTATGAGTCCTGCCTGTGCCTGGAGCTGTCTCCTCAGAAGTCTTTCGGAAGCCTCGGCAAAAAATGGGATGAGAGTGCAAGAGATCCGCTTCGCTCCAAAAGCCAATCGTGAGCGACAGGCGAGCGCCGGCTTCTGCGAACCTCAGCAAATCAGTACTCACAAATGTGGTACCGAAAGGAGCAAAGCACCAGGTGCGCTACTCGCATCTGCAACCCGCTCATCTTTCTTTCCTTTCAGCTGCCTGTCCAAGACTACAAGAAGGAACAACATGAATTAACCCACTGATCCAACCAGCGCAAGTGCAAGTCGCCATGGCGCAGTGAGGCTCCTGCTGACCGTGCGCAAGCTTTAGCTTTTCAATCGCACGCTCTAAGGTTGGCATGGCCTTTCCAATCGTGGCATTTGATGGCTCGGAAGGAGTTTCTACAATGCAAAACGACGCTTCTCGGGCGACGACCAAGTCAGCAGCATTCGGATCCCCAGCATCGAAGTCCTTGTACCGTACTGAAGCAATTGGTGCCACAGGACTGGCTTCCGAGTCAAGGCAAGCCTGAGCCAGGCGGAGACCAAACTCAAGCAGGGCCGTTCCTTCCAATGCAGGCGAGTTGGACCTGCCGCTGTCAGAAAAAGCAAGCTGGGACGAAGGAATCGGCTGGACCTCTGCAAGGCTTGAGCTGCTCGTCGAAAGAAGGAGAGCGCCTCCTGCTGCGACCAGTGAAGGCTAAGCTGCAATCCACATCGCGGAAGGCCTTCTCACCGGCAGCTTCGGAAGCATGTCCCAACGACAGGTACAGCAGGCCTTCTCGCCTTTCAGGCACTATATCACTCTGGTGGATATTGAAACATTCTTGTCCGATGCCTGCTACACTCGGGCTCCGCGAAAGGAACCTGCAGCACTTGCTTTCTCATGCGGTCGAACCACTTCCTAGCATGCGCAGCACGCAGCACATCCTTTGCCTGAGTGGCACCCACTTCAAGCAAATTCGCAGCTCTGCGACCACATCGGAGGGAACCCTCCTTGAGAAACCAAACTTGAGCTCGATCCGTTCAGTGCACAACTGCACAGACACTGTGATCATCCAGCCCTACCGGCTCTACTGATGCCTTACCCTACTGACCTCTTTCCAATCTCAGGTCACTGCGAAGTCTCTCCTGGCCGCCAGACACTCTGCCAACACCTCGAGGCAAACCAAAGAAGACAGGCTGCCACATGTGGTGCCAGGCCGGTGCCTCCAGCGCATCAAACGCCAGCGCACGTCCAGCTCGTGTCGCAAGAGAGTCTATTGGACCCCCATTCTCCTGCTAAGCAAAGCGCGCCCCATCACTCGCTGTTTCATGCTTTCGGTAATTCGGTTTGAAGAAGCGCAGAGCACTGGCGGCATCAACCTGTCAGGATCCCTCGCGAAACTCGAATCAAACCCGTGTCCAAGCTCGGGGTCTCCCATTCAGAAAGAAACCTGCAAGAAACAGTTTGGGAAGCGGAAGCACCCCCAAACAGTTCGCTGAACCGAGGCAGAGCACGCCTGTGCCTCTCACTCAAAGCTCATCGACCGGATGTATGAGGCTGTATGGTCTGTCCTTCCGGTCCATGTACTCGACTGCTTGCAGCAACAAGCACTCCGCCTGGCACGAGACTCTCCAATCACGGAGCACGCACTGCAGAGCACAAAATGTTGCACCAATTGCCTCCTTTGTTTGACCTCGCTTGAAGAGTTCGGCTCCCTTCTGCACCCAAACGGACGGCGAATCAACCTGTCCACATTCAAGCGACTGGACGAAAAAGCCGTGTGTGTCTGGCTAAGTAAACAAGGGTGGAATCAAAATTGTGACACCCCTTCAGGAGCCAACCACGAATGACGAGAGGATGTTTATTAACCTGACTGTACCTTCGACATGGAGCTATTCTCCACTTCGCATCGTCACGATCCCATGCCCCCGCTTGCTGCGCAAGCGCAGCCAAGCTTGGTGCGGACAAGCACGCGTAGCATCGAACTTGGTGGTGTGTTGCGTGTCTCTAGGACCACGGTTCTTGTGCTTCACAAAAAGAATCGCAGATTTGTTCTGAAATCAACTGGCAGACTTGGACCTGCGTCTGCCATCCGGGCCGCAAGCTCTTCGCCAACTCTGCGGCTTGCTCAGCTGCGTCCTCCATGCACTTTGTGCCCTTATGCGCCTGCGGGTCGATTGTAAGCTCCTCATCCCTTCGCTTCTGCGCCCAAACCTGCGCATTGCGGAGATGCTGCCTCGGTGAACTGAACACGGTTTCGATCTCAACGAGAAGCGCTGCCCAAGCGCGCCGCTCGGCCAAGCCCTTCTGACTGCGCGCCAGGATGAGTGCTGCCTTGCTCCGCAAGACCCAGAAGTCAAACTTGAAACAGAACCCCACTGCTGACCGAACTGACTCCCGCACACCCTGAAGTCTGACACATAACCAACAGCCATCTAAGAAGCAGATAGATTCCCCATGTTCACCCTTCGAAAACTGCGTGCCAGCTCTGTCCAACGGAGATGCAGCATACCGCATTCCAATACGAACGGTGCAGCAACATGAAGCTGGTGCTAACCTCGCAGTTTGTTAATCGGCAAATTTATGTATTCGACATCTCGGCTCCCTGCATGAGGATTCTCTGGATCAAGCTCCAACGCAGCATTTGCAAAGTGAGTAGCGACCACCTCGGCCTGCGCCGTCATCCGCACTGGACCTAGGTCTGAAAGTACGGCAACATCAGGCCTGCTGTCTTTCGTCGGCGCCGGCGAGCGCAACAACCTGGAACAGACATTCTCCGTGGATCCCTAGCGAGAAAAAAAGGGCAAGCGGTCAGCGTCGCATAGCACCCTGAATTTGGCGGTAGCTGATAACCAAGAGCAATGCAGGTGTTGCATCTCCCGACATGAGAAACTTTAAGTAGAATTCTCAACCTGAAAACTACAAGAAATCAGAAAAAGGCCTCAAAGCTTCACAAGAGGCTTGGGTCGCTTTCAGAGCGAACCTCAAAGCTGTACTGCGCGACTGACATAAGACATCCGAACAGAAGCTCCGACTGAGTGGGATGGATGCACATCTGGGCAGGATGTCGACTGAACAAACGCCCTGAATCATAGCAGAGCTCCACGCGAAGCAAGCCAACAACATCACCCAAACAAAAATCCTGCGGGTGGTAGTGCGGCATCCAACTCACATGCTCCCAGCACCAGGCCCCAGCACAGCACCCGACAAAGATACCAAATGTTTCCGTGTTGCTCTAGATTTCGTGAAACCAGCTACAGGCCACTGGTGCTCTTCGTGCCACATCGGGAAAAACGTTATGGCATGGAAAAAACCGGGGCCTGCATGGGAAGGCATGCTGCATTGAGACGGCATTGAAGCGCCAAGCGCCAAGCTTCCCTGGACTCCTGAAAGGCTGCGACCGTGCGCGACGGAGCACCCCAGACACCCCAACACACTCCAACTCGAAGGCGCCTTGCAGTGGTTCCCCAGCAGCGCATCGGCTTTGCGATACATTCCCAGGGCCTACATGAGACGAGCGACCCAGGTGACCAAAATGCCTCTTGCAGACTGCAGAACCTCGCAAAGATGCTGCTGCCGTCGCCGCGGCTCCTTGAAAAAAACACGCACGCCCAGTGGTCCACACGAAACTTCGCCAGACCCTTGGCGCCCGGCCTGCTCTTGGCGTGCGTGGTGGCTCAAAGCATTTGCCTACGAGGGCGGCGGCTTTCGCTGTTCAGCGTGGGCTGACCCAGCCCCAGCCTGCTCGCGCAAGCTGCTGGCTTGCGAAACATCGCCTTCTTCCCCGTCCAGCTCCGGTTCCTCCTGGTCTAAAAAAAAGGAACTGTTGATCCTTTTTTTTTGCAGTGTGCAAACAACCATGCAAAACACGAAAAAAGAGCGCCAAAGGCATGGAGAGGCATGGAGAGTGATGCAATTCTGCCTTTCTCCCTTCGCTGCCCCGGCCTGAAGAAAGTCCCATTTGCTTGATCGTAGCGATGCCATGTCTTCTGGCTTGTCTCCATCAATACAACTCTATGTGAATTCGGTGCTGGACCTGGTATGTGTGCGGATGCACATGCCACGGCTAAGTCCGTTGAGGGTCACCTCTCCATTCCTGGCTTCCCCGAATCGCTGTGCCGAGGCTGCGGTGAGGGGCAACGGTAGAAGCAGTTCCGCGCTTGGTGTTCCAATGCCTTCCAGACATTTGTAGACCCTGGATGCATGCGAGGCAGTTCTGATCCCTTTTCGGTGCTGGCGTATCCGGCTTGAATACCCGACGACACAGCAGCTCTTCTTCACAACCTTTCGTTTCTAAGGACAGTGGATCTTACATGATAGCAAACTGTGCAACTGCCCGAAACGTCATGCAAACATACACACATGAAGAGCTCTGGATTTCGAAAGGACTCTATGCCTGAACAGGCATTCAAGGCGTAAGCCGCAGCACTTCGGAAGATCGCGGCTGAGAGCACCACTTCACACGAGTCGAGAGCCGTCTCCGATCGGGGAAAAGTCCGTTTCGTCAAGGGCTCCTTGGCGCCAGCGAAGTTCATGCAAGCTACAACTAGATGGCAGAAGTGGTGGAGCAGGGCGGCACCTGTCTGAAGCAGACTGACTGCGTCAGAGATTCTAGCCTCAATCTGGGCACCAAGGAGGCCTGTGCCGACCCTTGGCAAGAGCACTGGAGAAGCTTTACCGGCTCTTCACGACTCAGAAAGGGACCGAGTCGAGGGCCACTCTCGCATTTGGGATGTAGGAAACGGACCCTGGACTTCCCCATAGCTGTCTTTGTAGTACCACTGACCTTGTGGTGCACAACGCACAAGGTAGTGCATCACAAGGTAGTGCATCAGCAGTGCTAGTAGGTCCTGTTCGTGGCGATCGCGATGCAATCTACTTCCAACTTGCTGCAATGCAACATCGAGATCACTTTTTTGTTGCTCGGTAGCGTACAGGCCAACTGGGTTCCATGATCTATCTGCAGTTTCAGTCGTCATCGGCAGCTGCCACATCAGCCGACAAGGTGTTCATGGCATCCTCCGCTTCAGGGCGCATCATCTCAACACCGACGTCATCGCCACCATCTCCATGAAGCTCCATTAGCTTGGTGATGTCGAACTTTGGCTTCTTCATGATCTTCACCTTTCGGATCAAGCAATCCTTCAACGGGAAGATTCCCTGCGTCTGCTTCTCAATCTCTTTGCCAATGGATTCGGGTATGAGTTTCTTGACCAGCTCTCGCAGCTGGACTTTGCTTGCCTCTTGCGTCATGATCTCGACCATCTTGCGACGAATCTTGCGAATCTGTGCAGACTGTGCATAGCAATTTGACTTGACCTGCTCTGGTCGGCGCTTCGTGAAAGCGATGCAGAACATGCGGACGATGTAGTTGTCAGTAGTCTTGACATCCACGTGGGCCTCTATGAGCGTCTGCCACTTCTTGATTAGGGAGCAGATCTTGTCTCGGGTCAGTGTCATGCCATGAAAGTCTGTCAAACAACTTCGGCCTTGGACCTCCTCGATGCAGAGACGCACCTTCTTGGAAGCCTGGTCCTCGTCGTTGTTCAAATCCGCCAAGTTCACCTCCAGCACACGGCCCTTAAGCTCTTCCGTGGCGATCTTCGTACCCTGTGTCCTGGACACCAACGTCTTGCCACAATTCCGCACGCTGAACATGCTCGGCGCCTCACATGCACTCGCAGTAGCCGTTGCCGGCCACAACATGGACAAGAAAAAAACCCTCCCTAGACTACGACAAGCCAAGACACCTTGATGTCGTACCATTCCTTCCTCAAGAAGGGATCACCTGCTTTCTTTTTGCCACCTTTCTTCCCCCCTTTGGTGAGGCGCTTGTTCTTGCCAACTGCCATGACGACCTACCAGCACTGTACGCACCTGCTTGATCCCTGTGCAGAGCGGGGAAAATGTACGGATTCAGCTCACAGACTTCGGCCTGCCTAGAGGCTAGCACAGGGCATCAATTCAGCCGAGTGTTTGACGCTCCGGCGAAGCTGGTGGAGCCTGCGCCTAGTGCAATCTCCCAAGACATGTCAGCATCGTTGCCCCGCATCGAGGAACGCGAAAGACAACGTAGACGTTCGAGTAAGGTGCAAACGGATATGCCTGTCAGCTAGCGAACATTTAACGCAATACAGAAGCCACAGCGTGTGTGCACTGCCATAGTTTGTGAACTATAGGGGCCAGACCATCAGCAGCAGCATCACCTCCACCGTAGCCACCGTACCCGCCATAGCCCCAGTATCCACCCTGCATTGAGGATTGTAGAAGTGGATCGCTAGTTGTGAACCGAGTTCCGGAAAGAATGGGCACAGGAGCGTGTCACCCTATGCTACTAGCTCTTGAGACTTGTTCAGTGCAGCTGACGGATTCCGTCGCATGACTACTTGTCCACCTGCTTCTCATCTGGGTCCAACTCCTGTAGGAACTGGTGCAAACACACACACACACACACACACACTTTGATGCAGTACACCATCTGCCTTATTGTTGAACACCTCAGAAGTGGATCTCAGCTCATCCGTTCTCCTCTTCGTCCTCCTCGCCTTCCGAATCTGTTCCGGAATCGAACTGGTCGGGATTGTCCGGATCTACCTTCCAACAGAGCAGCTCTGCACTCAGGCTGGATACCCACTCACTCCACGCTTGACCTCCGGCCACATGTAGTGCAGCGAGTAGCCCAAGAAAGAATTGACCTGTGCATCAAGGGTGGCAGAGATCCAGTAGACTGCGCAACCCCCCGAACGGAGAGCCCAACCAATTGAAGCACTCCGCTAGCGCAAGCGAGAATGAAGGACAACCTGCCACGTTCGAGATCATTCCCCAAAACTATGTGGCTGTCAAGGCTGCGACCCGGGTGGTGGAACAGGATACCAGGACTCTTCGTTCAGATCCTCGAAAATACCCTGTCCAAGAAGTGTGTTGTAATGGTCCTTCATGGTGGAGTGAAGTCGCTGGCCTCGGTCATGATTATCCAGAAAACTGTACCGGCAATGTTCAGCATCGCAGCCACCTCAGCTGTAGACGTGCAAGCACAAACCTTTACGGGAAGTTCTGAGAGAGGAAAGGGCCGGCCACCAGTTCGCCGCCCATCGCAAGGTTCGAGTTGTCAGCGCAACCGTCCAATACAGACACAACCTTATTTCGGTCAAACTTGTGAGGCGGCTTGAAGCTGCGAGCCGCTCAGGACACTGCATTTGAACGATTGTCCCGATAATGATTCCCAGGGCTGCACCTTCACGGGAACACTCGAAGCTTGTTTTGACCAGATCCTGCGGCTCAACGGATCAGAAACCGTCAGCGACAATGGGTTGTTTCGAGATTAACCTTCTCCGGTGCATATTCTGCCAACGGGAACGCCTCTGACAGTAGTTACATCTTCTGCTCACTTTGCTGCATCTGAGCTGCTATAGCTGTAGAGGCACAGCTCGAAATAGGAATTGCATTTCAGAAGGTACCTGCTTCTGGATACTGGTCTGCAAGTGCGGCGTGATGCAAAATGTTTTGCTGGGCGGCTGGCCATCTGCAAATTGGTGAGAGACAGGAATTGCCGAGCATCAGATGACCATACCACTTGCCTCTTGGATCCATGTCAGAGCCACACAAGGAAGTCGCTTAAGCTACCGTATGAAAAACTGAAACTTAAGTCCCCGAAGCAGTTGTTGTCGAACATGGTATGGTGGAAGGTCGTCCTGTCGTCCAGACCACCAGGGGTCAGAGGAAAGGCGGCAAAGCCTTTCCAAACGAGAGCCCGGCTGCCGGCCCTGGACGTAGAGCAGGCCCCAGTTCCTACCATGTCTCAGCAAGCCGAGTCATTTCCTGCTTTACGTTCTGTGACTCTTTGAGATGCCTTCTGGTACCGTATCCGATGAGCCCGACCTGTAGTTGTGTTTGCTAGCGCTTTCAACATGCAAGAGCAACCTTGGCAGAATCGCTTCAGCAACGGACCCAGCTAGAGCGCCAGTTGGGAAGGACAATGGCCATGATGTTGAAGATCCTTCCCAAAGAACAACCGCAAAGAAAACTTCCAAGAACAAACACAAAACACCACTGAGCCCCGCACAAACCCAAAGAACCAACAATGATGGCTGTGCGGGAAGCTTTGGTGTAAGCTGTGCGCCCTTCTTTGCGGCGCTCCTGCCGGTATCGCGAGAACTACTCCACATAAACGAACAAATCAGTAGATCTCTCGAGCGAACCTGGAATGTGTTCAACTTTCTCCGTCGAAGATACTCCTGCTGCAAAGCCTCCATGGCATGCGAGAGCTGTAGCAGTAGGCAATTCGGAAATTCTGTCAATGCCGGAAAACTGCCCTCGTTCAGCAATAAGTCCCGTGCACCACGGTCCATGTTGAACGAAAGCACCTGGCACACAGCAGCAAACATCTGAGAAGGGACAGACAGCAGATGTCGAAATCACGGCAAAGCCGAACCGTTAAACTGGCTCGTTCGACGCAGATGGAAAGGAAAGGTGAGCAAACTAGCGGAAAAGGGAAAAACACATGCTTGAGATTAATCATGGAGCAAGGCATCATCCAGCAAATAAACTACATGTCTGTGACCAATCCCTGTCTGCGACCAATCATCACTGACGCATCCAAGTTGATGGCTCGGCTCAGCATCTCAACCGACATTTGGGTTCGAAAAGTTTTGTCCCCTGCTGCGCATTGTCCAGCTTGCATGCGCAGTCAGAACCAACAGTTGCGACGGCACGTTGCATGTAACATTGCCGACAGAAATGAACAGAACCTGAAATTAGGTTGGAGTTGTTGGCTCTCCCCCAGCTGGGAACCGAGGTTGTAAAAAGAAATCAACCCCAACCCCCAACCCACTCCCCGTGGGGTATGCTCGCAGCACTTCACGCCGACGGAAAACAACGCCAACAAAAGAACGAACATCAACCGAATTTGGCCCAAATTGAACTGAGAAGCTTGCGTTGAAATTGAGTGCGTTCCTGGCATTGTCATTCCACAAAGATGATCTATTGTCAATTCAGAGCTTTTTCTTTGTTATTGAAGTGGAATTTCATCACATTTTGTTTGCAGCTGTGCACAATGTCGCTTGGCGCGTCCATTTGGGGCAACAGCCAGGGTGGTGGGCCAGGTGTAGGAAACGGCCTGCCACAGGAAACGGCCTTCTGTACAGCGGTAGGAAACAGCCTCCACCAGGAAACGCCGAAACAATTTTGCAGTCTCTTCCGCGAGAAATGACTGGCACAAGAAAACCGCCACCAGTGAGAAACAGCCTCTGGGAGGAAACTGTCCAGCCGGTGCAGCCACAGCTCAGCGTGTCGCACGCTAGAACTGCCTCCTAATTCAATGCTGCTTCAGCATCCTGCTATGTCTGCGGCAAGAGCAAACTCACACTGCAGAAGAAAACAAAAACATATCAAATGCTTTCGACACATGCTCGCACTGCACCGTGCCGAACAGTCCTAACACAAGTCTTTGCATAATATGCCAAAACAAGGGCACAATTGCAGAGACATCTTCCTAGAAGAGAAGGGTCTACCTTCTAGATTCTGGTGCTTCTGCTGCTCAAACTGGTAAGCTTGAGGGGTGCAAACTTCACTTGAAAGCTTCAGCCGTGGTCTGGTCCCTGCAAAACTAACATCCACGCACATCTGGAGACGCAAATCATTGCCCTCCAGTCGTCACTCAAGCTAGCACACATCCCGACTGAAAGATGTTTCAGAACCCCCATCGATGACAACACCAGAACCGCATTCCGATGCCTCAGAAACCACCTGAAGCTCCAAAAAAGTCCTCGCAGATAAGCAGCATGTCTCACACTTCTTCTTTTCTCTGAAACAACATAATTGCCCTCTTCTTGGACCAAATCCGGAATGATCTCCGCAGCCGCCCATCACCGTTTCGGCGCGAGCACCTGGGAACTCTCGCCGGGCGATCTAAGCTTGCGGAGATCCCGCACGTTGAAATCCCGGACCAGCTGCTCCAGCAGCCCGATGGCCTTCTGTTCCGCCATTTCTAACTTGTCCACTCTTTCACCACACCGAGAGTTTCTGATAGTCAGAACCAGCAGCTCCTCAAACCCGCAGCTCATGGTCTTGCACAGAGTCTCGCCCAGCTTCCCGGCAGCCTGCATGTCCTGGGCGATGAAACCAGCTGTTCGCTGGAGCAATAACACTCGACGAATCAAACTCATTTGATTGAGTTCGATGGTACACTTGTGACTCGTCCCGTTGACCCTCTGTGATCTCTGTGATCCCCTTGAACGTGATAACCGGTGACCTCTCCCAGAACCCCGGTGACCCCTCCGGACCGCCGACGCCGTGCCCCAATCTGTGACCACTGATTCTTTGTGAATCTCACGGCAGAGCTAATGGTCACTATTGGCGGAGGACAAGGACCAGCTCACGGCAGTGCGCAGAAAAAGCCACACACGCACTTATTTGCGCTGCTGGTATTGTACGGAGGCGTGTCTGCCAGAGTCTCAGACACGCTTATGTACAGAAGAGACTTCTGGCTCGATTAATTTTAGCGAAAAATGAAGCGTTTTTTTGCAAAGACTAACATGTTGACAACGCGTCATAATACGTTAATAACGCGTCATAACACGTTAACAACACGTTAACGCGGCACCACGCAGCACCACGCCTACCAAATCTTGAAGGTTTGCAATGGTTGTGGTGAGGTTCGTCCACAAACTTTCCGGCAAGCTATTGGTGGATTCCAGTTTTTAGCTATGTTTCCGGCAAGAGGCTAGGACGTGCGCAAATTCTCTGTTCTCTGAGTCGCGTGAGTCTTGCTTTTGCAGCACAATTTGAGTGGGTGGCAAAGCAGCTGAGACGTTTAGATTTTCACAGTCGCAAGGGGCCTTGAAGCCAGCTTTGGCCTGGTCTAGCTCTGGGTCTTGCCATTTCCGAGTCTTAGACTTGGTCAGTGCCCCTGCTCGTGACCATCTGGTGGGTGGCACAGGTTTTGGCGATGCTTTCTTGGAGGTTCCAGTGGTTGTCATTCTCAGCCGTCTGCAGGGCCGCTGAGACGTTTTGACTTTGAGGGGGTAGTTCGGCGCTTGTAGGAGTGTTGTGTCGCGAATGGCTGGAATGACCCAAAAGAGACCCAGTCCAGGGCTAATGAACCCCTGCCGGTAGGTAGGAGGTGCAGTAATTGCTGTCACCTTAAATGGGCCGCTGAGACGTTTTGACTT